TATGAACTGAGATTATTCAACCACTTTAGACCACTGCACAGAATGTCAAGGGAAATTTTGTTAGCAAGGACAAGTGACTGTTTTGTTCTACTTTTACTTTTGAGGTATTTTTCACTCAGCAGAAGATAGTACAATAATGTATTTGCCATGCTGTTCCATAAATCAATTAAACTCTTCTTACTAAACTCCAGAAATGAACATTTGTGAAACTATTTTTTTTTTCTGTAGTCCTTTATTTAAAATTTGTGCAACAGCCCCAGATAACACATTGTTTAGAGCTGGCAACCAATTTCCCCAGTTTTACCAAGCAGTGCATTCGCTGTAACATCACAGGTCATTTTTAGCTATTGTACGTCTTTGTCTGGTCCAGTCAGAAAAGCGCACAAGCACTCCAGTACTATCAGTTATGCTTGGAGGAACATAAGAAGGGCGAGGGGGAGGGGAGAGGAGGCAACACAAACTCAGAAATACCCCGTTTTTCTGCTTTGGGAGAGCACAGTCTGCTAACAGCCAGGTCCAGCCTGGCAGAAAATCAGTGTACTGCAGTATTACAATCAGTAGACAGAAAGGAAAAACCCAAGCCACAGAAATATGCCCTCCCAATGATCTCTGTCTCAAAGGAAAAAAAAAAATCTTAAAAGTCGCATCCTTATTGAATTTGTCTTCCTTGAAATTAATTCTACTTTGTGGCCTAGTTCTTTTTTATTTCTGAACCTATTATGGGCCACATCTGTGGAAGTCTGATCAACTATTCTGAAACCAGCTGCTGCTAGATTCTTTCAGTTAAGCTGAAATTAAGAACAGGTTTGTGGGCTCCCTACCTGCTGTGAAGCCGTGATATAGTTTATAAAATTACATACGGGTGAGAAAATCTGACTGCCAGGGCTGGAAAAGTTGGTACATTTAGCATGAACCTAAAATAGCCGTGTATTCTGAAGCTGTAATTATTTGCAATATTAACTTTTTCTGCTCTCTTCCTCAGTGTCATTGTAAAAGCAATATTGGATAAATCAGTTTAAAAAAATGTGGGTTTGAGAGGATCAAAGCACAAAAAATCAAAATCAGGCTATATCCTAGTAACTGTGTTGGCGGTAGGGGCAAATATGAAAGACATTAGAGTTAAAAATGTTGATTCTTCAAAAAAGGTCTCCAGATTATTTCTGCCGTAAGGAAAAGCTCATTACATGCCATACATGAGATGATGGAAACAAACACCAGTCATCTTTTATCATTGATGCAATTACATTGATAGCAACGGGACAACTTGTATGAGTAGAAAGAAAAGAGGTTATGACCACATCCTGACACCTGATGCAATTTGTCAACAGATATGACCAACTTGCTTATTGCTGTTACACATTAATAGACACGTCAGATCATGAAATATGTGCACCTCTCCAAATGGAAAAATATTTTCAAACCCTTTCACTAGATTTATGTCTGACTAAATTAACAGGGTACAAGAGCTTGACCTCAATCCGTGCAAACCTGGGGTACGCTGGTGTGCAAAACTTTGGTGGGTGGGGGTGTGTTTTCATAGTACAAACTCTGGAAGCAGTCTGACACAGTACAGTACTGAGGCATGATTAGAGAGGAAAGAAAGATCGTTGTGGTGCTCATCAGAAGTCAATGCAATTAATCCAAGTGTATAAGCTTGTTATGAATTGAAACCATTTTGTTTCAGAGTGGAATTTGTGCCACCCACAGAAACTCTGGAAGCACACCAGTGTTAGAATGGTCCATTTTCACTGGAGTCAGAAATGTGAGTTTCTTTTTTAAAAGCATTAGTGGGAATGCTTCTGTGTGGTGATCTGCAGACATAGATGGGTATTAGAGCTGCTTGTGTCTTCCAGATTGTAACTTCTGCACGTGTGTTTTGTATCTCCAGATACACCAAGAAAAAGCCTGGTTTAGAATGTAAAGAGTAATACAAGATGATTTGTCATCAGTTTGTGTGCTCTTTTTCTGACCAAGCACAGTTTGAGAGCAAAATCTCTGTCTTACATTTAAACAGAATTTCAGACAGATTTGTAATAACTGGATATATTAATTGGCACAAAACCTGAGTAACTCTGAGCAAGCACACAGAAAAAGAGACTGACTTCCCTAGATTACATTTCACAGACTGTATTTGTGTATGTGACATGTACACACACACATATGCACACACATATATATGAAATGTAATCCAAACTTGGCTTGTTTTCCTGTCTTGAAGTATTTATCTATGCTTTCAGCCTTGCTTTTACAGAGATGGCCTTCTTCCTCAGTACTCTACCACAGTGCTTCTCGGGAACCTTTTCTTATCTAAACTTCCACCAATCACTCCTAAGGCTAAGTTATGCAGACAAGTCATCGCACAGAATTTCATCAAACTGCCATTTTCCCTAACTTGAGAAAGCCTGGTCCCAAACGCTGAACAAATAATTTATTAGACCATAGCAAAAGTAAATAAATGCTTTCCTGCTCCAAATATTTCATTAGCCAGAATTATTATACATGCAAGTCTATAAATAGTAAAACACGTATTGAGCCATTAATATCGCTGACATTCTCATACAAGATATTGTAATTTAAAGAATTTGAAACTGGAGGACATCTCCCTGGAAGATTTCTGGCAAAGATGAAATGAGTAAACTGTCTGCAAACAAATTAGTCACCCATGGAAATGGTACACTACTAACGAATTGAAAATTAAGGACATCATCTCTACCTGAAATTTCTAATGACATTGATGATATTATGCAAATATATCCTGCATATCTTTTGAGTCTATAAATTCTTATACTGTTTCAGTTTTGCTTTTAAAACCCAGAAGTGCTGGGCTCAGCAGAAGAAATGTGAGAAAATCTCCTATTTAAAATTACATGGACGGAGGAACTCTGCTGGTGACTTTCCGTGAAATTAATATACCGCTTGATTGTTTTTAAGGTCTCTGCATCTTCTGAATTTTTAATTGCCTTTCCATTAAAGTGGAATACCCCTCGTGTACTAAGCTTGAGATGGGTTCTCCAGTCCTTTCACTCCTGTAGCCTCCTATTTTCTTATGGAAACAAGGAGTGTAAGACTGGGCCCTATGGAAGCAAATATGGAAAATATTAAGCATTTTAAGCATTACTCTGTCACGTAATAGAGCAAGCACTGTGTTCTTTATTCTCATGTTTTACTGTCTAAGGAAAAGAATCTGTACAGACTCCGAGAGAAAAGGAGTAGGTCATAAAAATCACATTTTTAGGTAGAGGAGTTGAGAAGTCTCATGCACCTTTCATTGCTCTGACTTGTCAATTTTTGCCATATGGAAATTGTTAGCTTAATACTGTAGTTCTAAATACTGCCCAGGAATGCTGATTTATAATGGATTTCTTACTCTTTGTGTAAAGAAATGCTAAAGTACTATATAAACTGTGATTAGAGAATCTACACACTTGTGTTATAGGCATGTGCCTGGGGTGGATTCTCCAGGCTCAGAGAGGTGACATCTACTCTGGTCCACCCACAGGTAAATCTGGCACCAGTGAACTCGGAATTCCCACAAAATGCTGCACTTCTGGAGTAACTGGGAACCCAATTTGGCCAGCAATTGAAAAAGTGTGCAGGAAAGATGCTGATGCATAAGGGACAAAATCCAGACATTCCAGATGCGTTATTTACTATTGAGGCACTTAAAGACACCACATTAATGTAATGAAGCTGCTTTTGAAGAAAAGGCAACATGCACTTTTTAAAGTGCGTCCTCTCTTTATTTTGACCAGCTGCTATGCACGTCTAGTTTTTTGGTTTTTTTTTTTTTTCTTTCTGTAAATTATAATTAAATTTGATTGTCCCAAATACATCCCACTCAGGCATTCATGCTGAAAGCAGCAACAATTGTCAATGACCTTTAACACGCCTGCTATACAAATTAGTGCAGATCATTAATCACACATAGCTTACATTTTATGATTCGTGTATCCTTCATTACCAACTTTCCCCACTCGCTCCCTGCCCCCTACCCCCACCCCTTCCCTTTATTCCGAGGGTTCTTGTAATAAGCACTGGAAAGGGCAGGATTTAAAGCCTCCCCCCGCCCCAATTTTGTTTCCCTCTCATTGCCGGAGCAGTTCGCGTCCCAAGTGCAAGACGGAGGGAGGGCGGCGCGGGGCCGGTGCGCCCGGGAAGGGCCGGCCCGGGGGCGGGGGGCGACTCCGGCGGGGAGCGGAGCCGGGGTGCCCGGGGGCCGTGGGGTTCTGCCGGCCTGGGGCGTCAAGATAACACCGTCCCTCCGTCAGAAGCGCTCCGTGTCAATTGTACGTCATCGCACATTATGAGACAAAGAGAGAAAGAAAAAAAAAAGGCTCCATCCACACCCTTGATGTCTAGTAGCGAGCGTTAAATTAGGCTTCCCAGCCATAGACTAAACACACTCCTCTCGCCTGTGGCACACACAGATTTGGCGTGATTAAACCGGGCTTCGCAAACAGGCAGGAAAACAAGAATTGAACTTTTCAGCCATAGGAGGGGGGACCAGGGGGGCTTTTTGGTTGGTGATTTTTTTTTTTTTTTCTTTCTAAAGCCATATGGCAGATTGATTTGTTCGGAGGTCTTTCAACTTCCCCAGCGTGGCTGTTGAACAGTATTCCTCTTTGATCTTGATTGAGGACTTTAATGTTGTTGTTTCTGCGCATTTCAATAGATCCATAAATATTTTACCAGTGGAATTCGCCCAAGAAAAAAAAAAGATTAAAAAGGAAAAAAATAAAGTTTCTCATAGAAATGCATCTGGGGCAACTCCAGCCCGCACCTTTCGCAGCGGAGGAGGTACGTGGGAACCGGGGCGGTGGGCAGAAGCGCCACTCCGCGCCCGCACAACGCGGCGCCCGCCTTCCTGCCCCCCGCTCTCCCGCAGCGCCCGGGGGCGGCGGCACCCGCGCCCCAACTTTGCCCCGCGCAGACAATGGTCCCCGGCGTGTGCGTGCGGGCTCGGCACCGGCCACAGCAGCGCGGCCGGCGGGGGACGCGCGATGGCCCGGGGGGGCGGGGGGTCCTCGGGCTGTGCCCCTGGGGGGGAAAAACCCCTCAACTTCGTGCCTCCCCCAGGGCACGGGGACTGTCCCCCCCGGTCATCGGAGCAGCTCCAAAATGGTAACTTTGCGCTGTTCCGCGAGGAGGTCGGGTTTGCTGCAGTGGTGGTGCCGAGGGGTGGGGGAGCCCTGCGGGCTTCGGCAGCCTTTTGGCTTTGTACGCTCCGTCAGGGGCGGTGAGGGGAGGCGGATTGCGATATTAATCCATTAAGAGACAAAGAACAAATTGCCGCACTTTAAAGTAAAAAGCTTCGGCTGAAGGAGGTGGGTGATGGGTCGTCGAGCCCCGAGTAGCCACTTCAATTATTAACAGCGGGTTGTTCCCCCCCTTTCTCCCCCTACCCCCGCTAATATTGATCCAGCGTGTGCGTGAAATGCCCGGTGTGGGGCTGTGCCCGTGTGTGTCCCCCCTTGTTTGCGAGTCGCTCTCGGCTCCGTGGCGAGTCGGTCGCTGCGTGATCCCCGTTAGAGAAGTACACAGTTTATCAAAGGAAGTTGGGGGTGGGCGGGCAGAGAAAACAATTATTCACATATAGACAGCGAGGAGGACTCGGAGGACAATGTCTCCGTAGCGATTATTTCCAGAAGAGGAAAAATAGCCTGTTTGATGCGGGTGGGGTGGGGGAGGGAGACGGGGAGTTTAATGTACATGTTAAAAAAAAAAAAGGGGGGGGGGTCGAGAGGAGGGAAGGAAGGGGAGAGAGGGAGAGAGATAGGGAGGGAGGGAGAGAAAAGAAGAATAGAAATAATGCAGTTCCAGACATTTTGTGCTATAAAAGCTTTCCTCCTCCTCGTCCCTCCCTCCCTCCCCCCATTACTATCTTCGGTGATCATTAGCATAGCGCCGAGTCGCGATCCTAATGCGAATTAAGCACTTGGGCAAGTTGAGGAAAGTTTGGATGGGTAAACTTTGCTATGAGGGAAGAAGGTGGGGTGCTAAAACTGGCAGTACGTGTGGGGAGGCGTGTGGAGCATGACAGCCGGCCGTTGTTTTTCCCCTCAAACCAGCTAACCTCTGCAATTAGCTGCTGGAGACAAACCCTGTGTTTTAAGCCGAAAAGTGTCGGTTTGGAGTCAGCACCATTTATTAGGAGCGTTAATAAGCTCCCATCAGCAGACAGGGATCTTCTGGGGAATGCGCATTGTGTGTGCCCAGCTTATCCATTACCCCTATAGATACGGAGGCGCTCGGGCACTGGACGTGCAAATATCATTTTGCTCGGACTATTTTCGAAACATTAATTCTGTTCTTTATTTAATCCAGATGCAGGGTTCCCCTCCCCCCCCCCCCCCCCATTTGCTGCCTTATTGTTGGGTGTACATTTTCTGAAAAGGCGACTGGTGTAACCTGTGGAATTTGAAATGCAAATAAAAGCCTGTGGGAGTTGAGGCAGAACAAATCAGCATTTATAAAGTGAAAAAGATTTAATGTCTTTGAAACCACTGCGAGATTTTTTTTTTTAATAAGAACTGAATCGTGACGTCAAGTCGTTTGGGCAAGATTTTTAAAATTTTTTTTTTTTTAATGTCTGAAACGCGGGTATGCGAAGTGCTTACAGGAAAAACAGATTACAAGATTAACATCTGTTAACATGATCGTTTATCTCCAGCCAAAAATAGGTCAGTCCTTTCTTAAGGAAACACGATTGCTGGGCGCATGATTAAATAATGAAATTAGGCTGATGAGTTCATAAATTAGACGCCGTGTCGACGGGCGTTAGGATCCGACCTGTGACAAAAATATGTAATTCGCGGTCCGCCGGAGAGCGGTGCGGGGTCAAAGTCCCTTTTTGGGGAGAGGCGCAACTCTCTCGCCGCCGCCTCCTCCTCTTCCTCCTCCCCTCGCTCCCCATCGCCGGGCGCTCCCCGCTCGCATCCAGCGTCTCCCCCGGCTGCGGAGCTGAACTCTCCCAGCGAGCGGAGAAGTTTCCTCGGCGGGGAAGGACGCGGGGGGTGCCGCGGTTGGGGGGGGGTTGGGGAATGGGGCCGGACGGACACCCCCGGCCCCGCTCCGCTCGGCCCCGGGGTGTCGGGGCGCGGCGAAGTGGGACGGAGAGCCGCCGTGCCGCGGCCTTCCCCCTGCTCTGCCCTGCCCTGCCCTAAGCGCACCCCCGGCCCGGCCTCGTTCCTGCTGTCCCCTCGCCATTCCCCCCGCAGCGCTGGGATCATCCGGCTTTTTTTTGGAAGTGGGTGCCTTTATGAAAAAAGCTCGTCGGGCCTGGCGGGGCCATCGATATTTTGATTTTTTTTGATTTTTTTTTTTGATTTTTTTGTGGGGTTTATTTTAATATTTTTTATTATTCTGAGGCGGATTCACCGGTTTCTGGAGAGTGTCTCCCCAAAACTGGTGGCTGGGCGCCGTGCTCCGGGCCGGCTCCTCGGCGGCCGGGGAGAGGTCCCAGAAGCCCGCCCGGCAAAGGGCTGCCGCGCTTTGGCCCCATGCCACGGACTTTATTTCATGCTTGCTGCGCTAAATGAGTTAACAGCCAAAGGGTTTTTCATTAACTCGACTTGGCAACCGTGTATTTCGTTGGCTTCTCCCCTTTGGCTTCTCCCCCCCCCCCCCAAAAAAAAAAAAAAAAAAAGCGTAATTTTAAGCAAAAGCTGAGTGGCATAACATGGGTTGATTTTGATTTGGGAGGGGGAGTCTTTTTCAAAATCTTCTGTCACATTTCCCTTGTGCCCCCATCCCTGGGCATGGTGTGTGGGTGGGATGATAGCTGAGAGTTTTATTTTGTGAGATGTCCTGATTATTGACCATTGCTTTCCAATGGTGTTTTGAGGCCCTGTGTGTCCCGGACCAAGCAGGAGGATGCTGACCCTGTGGCAGGGCAGTGACCTTCAGCTGCCCCCCTCAGCCCTGTGAGGGATGTGTGGATGGGGGCTGGGGGGAGTGTGTACGTGTACATGCGGGGGAGCTGGGAGCTGCATGCCAGGCAGGTGCATGCAGGGCCGGGAGGGGTGTTGTGGCAGGTGTGTGCACAGATGCAGGGCAGGGATGGGGTATGTTGCACTGCTGCATGGGAGCCAGATATGTGTGCCTGTAGGTCCTGCTGGGGATGTGTATGCAGGGCAGAATGAGGCTCACACGGCTGCGGGGTGGGGGAGTGCTTCACTGGTGCAGGTGCACCAATGTCCAATGTGTGCACCAATGTCCAATGTGTGCTCATGTCCCCGTGTTTGTGGCTGTGTCCCGTGAGCAGGTGTGGGAAGTAGTGCAGGCTGGGCTTCTCTAGTGAGGCCCCCATGTGCTTCCCCCCCAGGCTGGCTGCTGCCAGTGGGCTGAATAGAACAGAATCGTATGAGGTGTTGGCTGATTTAGAGGGGAGCAGAGCCAGGGAGGGGTGTTGGTGATGAGAGCAAAAGTTTCATCTCGGCAGGGAGTATGTTGGTAGTTTTGCTCCAGTACTTTCGGCCGTGGCAGCTGGCCGGGATGAGTTGTCTGTCAGTGCATGTTGTTGCTTTGTTTCTCTGCCAAAGTGTCCTTCAGTTCTGTCACGGCAATCCCACCATCATCAGCCTGGTCATCTGCTACTCTTTGCACCCCAGCTTTGTTCCACCAAGGTGGGCACAGTGGTTTGGAGCTTTCCTCTGTTGAAACTGGAAGCTGAAGTTGCATAGGAGCACCTGTGGTGTAATTAGTATCGAGGTGCAGGTATTCCAGGAGACATCTTCAGTTTCACAAGAGGAGCTGCCATAGCCATCTTGAGTGAACTCTGTATAATAAAGTCATTTGCGTGGCGCTCTGTGTTACTGGCACAAGAACACCTTTACTAGCTCCTGGTGTAAAGTGGTTTTTAGCTATCTCTAGAAATTCTTGCCTGGGGTTTGTTTTCAAGCCTTTAGTTCCTGTAAAGCTGAGTGGTGTTGAAGTGACACCTAGTTAGTGATAAGTACTGTGGAGTCTGTGTGAATAATAGGGCATTATAGCTGTCCCTCTAAACTGCTAGATTAATATGCAAAGATAATGCTTACAGAAAGGAGAGAAAAAAATAAAGCATCTGTGAGAATAACATTGTCCTAAGGAATGTCCTAAAACATGTTTAAAGAAAGGAGTGGTCTTTGTTAGCGCAGCACCTATCTAAGCTTAGCACGACCTTCTAAACTCCTGTACCGGTCAAACTATGTTTTTGTCACTCCATGAATGTGAATGACTATTTCTCTGTGCCTCACAGGAGAGAGTTTTTACATCACTAGGGTGAAATCTACCTGCTGTTACTTGCAAGTGTCCTCAGTAACTATCTGTCTGGAATGGAGCAACATTTTGTAGATTAAAGTTTTCCTGTGGTAATGATTAATGTATTTACCTTAAAAATAGGTTCATTGTATGATTTTATAATTGGTCATAGTATCATGCTGTCACCAAGATTTAATAATAGCAATTATCAGTACAGAAGTGTTCACTGAAGGGGTTAGAAACGACTGTGCCATTGTTCTGAATTTCTGCCTGTTGAACTGATCGTCATTTTAGCAAAGGAGGATGTTTATGTCTTAACATCTTACAGATCACCTTCAGAAGCTGGGCTGTTGGCTTCAGTTTACTGAAAAATTAGTAACTTTTAAAATGCACCCTGCTGTGGGTGCTTACACCAGAGAGGGCAGCCTGGAATAGTAGCCTCATAGAAATGGTGTACTCTCCAACTTGAGAGAACTTTGGGCAGTCTGTTTATTTGGATTTTTTTGCTAAGGTTTTTGTGTGCAGGTGACTTCAGCAGTTACCTTTAGTTACCTATAACTATTGTCTTAGATAGTTTTATATAGATATAGATGTAGTTATAATTACCAATAAGGATTATCTGTCTATAGTTACCTATATTTATAGTTATCTATAGTTACCTATCTGTAGTTCTCTGTGGTTGAGATCTGATGAGTTTTATTCTGAGGCCCATCTAATGAAAAGTACCTATATTTAGTAAGATCCAAAACCTGTCAGCTTTGAAGGGTCTAACTGTCTAACTTCTGTGAAGATTGCAATTCATGCCAAGAACTTCCAGGACTTCTCTGGGATTACATGCAGTATGCAGGATGATCCAGTGCATAAGCTTTCATTGAGACTTCATC